TAACTAAATAAAGTTAAAAGATAAGAGTCTAAAAATGTAACTAGATAAAGTTAAAATTATTTAACTTTTAAACTTTTTAACTTAACTTTTATCTTTTTAACTAGACACTACCCAACCTTGGTCGAAAGTGATCAGAGTAAAGTTGTATGCAGATTGAACAAATCATTATATGGATTAAAGCAAGCGCCTAAGTGTTGGAACGGCACTTTTTGTAGTTTTCTCGAAAAATTCAATCTAAAAGCGTCAAAAGCCGATCATTGTATCTTTTGTGGAAACGTCAGTGGAGAAGTGGTATATCTCGCATTATTCGTAGACGACGGGTTACGTGCAGCAAAGTCAAGACAGTTGCTAAACACAATAACAGAATCCTTTCGTAAGACTTTCAAAATAACGATTGGTGATGCACATTGTTTTGCTGGACTAGAAGTTAAGCGGGACTGAAAAATGAAAAGTCTCTTCATTCATCAAACAGCATATGCTAAGCGAATAATTGAAAGGTTTCAATTTCAGAATGTTAAAACTGTCAGTGTGCCGGCCGATCCCCATACAATTCTTGTTCCAGTAAATGACAAAGAAGATATCATTAAAAATGTACATACCTTATCGCGAAGCAGTCGGATCTCTAATGTTCTTAAAGCCCCTTGCACAATGCGAGGCAACAGCGATAAGAATACCGATAGGAACAGAATAGAAATAAGCAATAGATATTGTTTCCTTTCGTTGCACAATGACGCGATAAAAATAAAGACTAACCAATCAGATCGCATATAGACGGTAGTCTGTCTTTCTATTTCCTTCAGATAAACACAACCTATAAATGTTAAAAAAAACTGTGTGTTATTGATAAATTGCAATATTTTGTATCAAAACGTTGGAATTTGCCTTTGATGAAGTACTTGTGCAACAAAGTTTTGTCAGCAAATTTTGGTAAATATGTTTTATAATGTTGCAAGTGAATATGTACGTATATTCTACGCATTACATTTTCACGTAAATTATTTTTAGATTAAATAAGATGGAAAATAGAGAATTAGCATTTATCTGTACAATGCAAGTGGCTGTGCTAGAATTGTACGCTGCATGGAAGGCGCAAATAGGCAAGCGTTGGAAAAACCGACGGTGGTGGGTACGTCCCATAAATGACAGACGTGCAGAGTATGGCGATTTCCAAACTTTGTTTTCGGAGTTGAAAGAAGACACGGATCTCTTTTTTCGGTACACAAGAATGGATGTGCCTACATTCTATGAACTGCTTCGACTAGTAGGACCACATTTGGAAAAAAGAAGCATGAGACCATCGATATGTCCAGAACAGCGTCTTGCAATAACATTGAGGTAAAACATTTTTATTTCAATTAAATTAGTTAGACTATATTTAATTTATTATTTATGTTTCAACAAACTAATAATTAGCATAATTTATTTATTTTGTTATAGATATTTAGCCACCGGAGACCAAATGTTGTCTGTGGCTTTAGCTTACCGAGTCGGTGAATCTACAGCTCATATGATTGTTAAAGAAACATGCACCGTTCTAGCAAATATTCTTATGCCAATCTATATGAAACCTCCCACAAAAGTCGAATAGGAAGAGATCTGTGCAGACTTTTTAACATTGTGGAATTTGCCAAATTGTGTTGGAGCGATCGACGGCAAGCACATAAGGATTCAAGCACCTCCAAACTCAGGATCTATGTACTTTAATTATAAGAAGACATTTAGCGTTGTATTGATGGCTGTTTGTGATGCCAGATATAGATTTACATTGTTCGAAGTAGGTGCGTACGGCAGCGATAGCGATGGAGGAATTCTTTCGAGATCATTTTTGGGAAAGGCATTGTATGAAGATACACTGAACTTGCCAAAAGGGACAGCTCGGCTCCCAGGAAGTGATAAGGAAACATCTTGCTATTTTGTTGCCGACGGAGCCTTCCAAATGTCCACTAACGTAATGCGACCTTATCCAGGCAGATTTTTAGATGAACAAAAACGAATTTTCAACTATCGACTATCACGGGCCAGAAGAACAATAGAAAATACTTTTGGAATCCTTTCAGCTAGATGGAGGATATTTCAAAGATCAATTCATGCCGGTCCAGAGGTCGTTGATAAATTTGTGATAGCAGCAATGTGTTTGCATAATTTTTTAAAAACGTTGAATGACAAGAAAACACCGCAGCAGCAACAATATTGTCCTCCTCAATTCACGGATAGAGAAACTAGCGAAGGAAACATAATTGAAGGAGAATGGCGACTACAATCGCAAAGTGACTTCATAAGACCTATCGGAAATTGTGGAGCACATCGAGCTACGAGAGATGCTTACATAATGCGGCACATTCTGTCGTCATACTTTATGACACCTGCTGGCGAAGTTCCATGGCAGTACGAATATATACATCGAGGGCAACATCGTGATGTGACGTAAACATTTAATGTATTTTGTATAAAATTTATATAAAATAAAAATNAAAAACTAAATAAAATAAAACTAAAAATGTTTGTTATTAACTCAACANTTAAAATTAATTTATTCAAAACTTCAATTTTTTAACACGATATTTATGGTTTTTTTAAATTACTGTTTTAAAATATCGGNACCTTTAATGCAAAAAATAAATAACTGATTGTTTTTAGAAAACATTTATTATATTTTATAATATATGATTATAATATAAAACTATTCTTCGAAAAAATATAATATTTCCATAAATTTTCGTTTTAATATATTCTTCTTTGGCTCCGTTGTTCTTTTGAGTTCAGCAGTAACCAAATTTCCAATAAGAACATCAGGATCGTTTTTTTCCAATAAAGCGTCATTGTTTCTGGAACATACTTGTGTTGCCATNGTATTCAAAGTGGTATTAATTTGGCAGAAAGCATTTTCTATCGAATCAGTCTTTNGACTCTTCATCTGCTTTTGATTTTTTACAAAACAAGCAGGTGGGGGACTCATTTCTGATCTCTCTGAATCTGAAAGTATTGCGCTCGATCGCTGTATTGGAGAAGCAGTCGATCGCTGTAACAGTGAATCAGTTGAATGCTGTGACGATGAAGAAGGCGACAGCTGTAACGATGAAGAAGTCGGCTGTAATGGTAAAGCAGTTGTTCTCTGTAATAATAGACACTCAGTTTATACACTTCTGTTTTATTATTATATTATATACTACTATATATTAACATTTTATTTATTATTACTATGTATTATAAATTTTAATTGTAAGTTGTTAAATTGTGGATAATCAGTTTCTTAAATTTGATATTAATGGTATTAATAATATTACAAAATTAATGTGAGGATACTGACTTGCTCAACCGAGGAACTCAATGACTGATTTACAAACGGCGAAGGTGATCGTGACTACAATCATAGTTAATTATATTTTATTACAAGTATATGTTATTTTTGTACATGTATTATTGCAGTTATATTTTAAACTTACATGGTTAAGTTCTATTGAATAGATATTCTTCCCGGAAATTGCAACTGCATTCTCAGAGAACGTTTTCTGGCTTAATTCTTGTAAAGTTGGCTCCATTTCCTATAACCAGTAAAATAATTTTTGACAACATACTTATAAAATAAATACCAAAACATTAGTTTACAAAAAATAACTTTTCATACCTTGCAATCTTTATTTTGATTTATCCCCTGATTTGCTTGGTGTATCATAGAAGTGGAAGACTGGAAAGCATTTATATTCGAAATAGTTCTGAAACGATAAACACTTTTATGAAACAAAACGTATGTAATCACACAAGCCCATATAATAATTATAATAAAGTTAATATTAACTTTCTATAAGACATATGCTTTTCTAAAAAGCTAAGGCTTTCAAAGAGATGCCATTTCTGTTGCATAGGCTTTGCAGCACCACTTCTGGTTTCGTTTTCCCTCATTTGTCGTTCTTTGCTGAAACGCTGACGAATGCGCGTCCATCTGGTTTGGCAATCTGATGCTGTACAAACCAAATTATTGATAAACTAAACTGAACAGTAACCGAACAGTAAACAAATATATTAAAGTTAAAACTTACTTGAAATATTTAATATTTCAGCAATTTCTTTCCATGCATTATCTTTTAGTTGTACGTCTTTATAGTCTTTTGTAGTTTTATCATATAGGTAAGGACGACTTCGTACAAGGTCGATTAGAAGTTCATCTCCGAATTTTTGATTGTTACTTACTTCATTGTCAACTTCATTACAATTGCTCACATCATGGCCAACAAAAACCGTGTCTTGTGTGTCAATCAATATTTCTTCTTCCAAAAAATTATTTTTATAATAATTGTAATGATTCATTCTTTAATTAACTTAAACACTAGTAGACACAAAATTGCTCNAAACAGGATTTGTATGTGTATCTTCTGCACAAAAAGGTTATAATCATGTAAACAGAATAAAGAAAAATCCGAACACTGTGATTGGTAGGCTATTAGNCNATAGACACAGAAATCCAACTCGTCGGAAATTTTATCGCTATTGCTTATTCCGATTTTCTGATCTGCATTGCATACATGTGTAGTTTTGTATGTTAGATTCCGCTGTTCCCTACCTTTATTTTTAAATATAAACTCTTTAAAACTTTTGTTATTTCTATTGCTATCGCTATTCCGTCCATTGTGCAAGGGGCTTTAGCCATAGTCTCACGGTCCGACATTGCTTTTTCTGTAAACGTTGTAAGTCGATTTTTAAATCGACATAATGAGAGCCATCGGAATGCTGTAAAACGTATCTTTAAGTACCTAATCGAGACAATCAACTTCGGTATAATGTATGAAAGCGGCGGGAGAGATTGTCAGCTTACAGGTTTCTCCGATGCTGACTTTGCAAGAAACTATGAAACACGAAGATCAACCACAGGTTACGCTTTCAAGTTCGCGAGTAATTTAATCATGTGGGAATCACATCGACAGAAGCTAGTCACACTCAATACAACAAAAGCAGAATATGTAGCAGCTGCAGCGGCAGCTAAAGAGACAATATGAATAAGAAAACTGCTATTTGATTTAGGCTATAATGTTGACAAACTAACTGTACTTTACATCGATAATCAAAGTTCAATAAGACTTGCAAAAAACCCGGAGTTCCACAATAGTACCAAACGATCTCAGATATCACTTTTTAAGAGAAAGAATAAAAGAAAAAGATATCAATGTAAGGTACATTCAAACCACTGAGCAACAGGCTGATATACTTACCAAAGCGTTACCCAAAGATCGTTTTAAATACTTGTATTCACTAATTAATCTAGTTCAACTATTATAAACTCAAAATGCTCAAACGGCGGGAGTGTTGAGTATTAATTTAGTCGCATTTTGGTATAACCGGTAAATTGGTTTGAAAAGTTAGTACCACTGTGAGCGGCGTAAGCGACGTGATATGATTCGCGACAGTTTTTTTGTGTTCGTCAAAGTTCGGAAGCATTCGTAAAAAGATTCGCCAATGCGAATCGATGAAGAACACATCGCACATCGTGAGCGGTCAGTCACGATCAATGCGCCCATCAATATTGTACTCCCTCCTTGCAAATATAAAGTTGTCTAATCTTTTCACAAGTGTTGTATCCCAGTTCACAGTTCTAACGCACTCTACAGACCGGCCCAGTGGTCTCGCGGCCTGAGTGCAGGGGCTGCGAACCTGGAGGTCCCGAGTTCGAATCCGCTCACCACCTAAGGATTTTTTCCGGGCCGGTCCCTTTCAACCGAGTTTATTGGTTGATTGGCGAACTGAATCGGGCCTCCAATAATTAATTCGGGTGTAATCCCGAATTAATTTCCCTCCCACAAGGCGATTGTAGTCATACCATCTTGAGCACGAGCCCGACACAGATGGGCACGCCCACTGTGAAAGACGGCCGTGTATCGCGTGGTAGTAGGTAAAAAACTGTACATCCCCCTCCCCACATTCGTTCTGAGAACGTATATCAATAGACTGGCGTTTGCTCCTCTCTCGCAGGGGCGTGAGCCATAGAAGCAAAGAAGAAGAAGAACGCACTCTACAAACCTCAACATGAAGCAAAGTTTTTATTTGATGTGCACAACATACCCAGATAGCCAACTGAGTGCAAGTTGTTGGCAACTTGCCACAAATATTGCTCATATGTTTTCAGCAATGTGACAAAAGGGTGTATTCTCTTTTCGGTATGTTCTTGCCAGCAACAGTTTACAAGATATAATAACAGCAAGTTCCCAACAACTCATCGGCAATAAACTTATATTATTTTTCTCAACTTATGAATAAAAATTATTGCTGACATATTGCTCACATATTGCTGACTCACATGTCATAAACATTGGCTACAACAATTAATTAATAATAAAACTCAGCATATTGATACTGAATTAGACAAAAACATTTTTGTTGCGTTAAATAAAAACAACACAACAGCAATTGGCAAGCAACTTAATCTATACAATAATATGCTTTATATTGAGTTTTCACATTTGGCTATCTGGGTAGTTTTGAATACTGCTTTTATTTTTGCTGTATAAACGTTGTTCGATACAAGTGGGGACAGTTTATTGAGATTTGAAAATATATAAAAGTTAAAAAAATAAGAGTATAAATACAAGAATTATGCTACAATGGCCCAGTTTACACCGGTCGCTTGATACGTATTAAGTACTATATTCATATTAAATCGGCTTGGTCTCAATAATGTAAACAATGTCGTATTAAGCTGGTATGATGCGCCTTCTTCACGCGTATGGTATCAAAATGGTACGCGTATTAAGCACATTTATAATGATGTAAACACCAAAATTATACATTTAAAAACAAATTTATTTGATTCGCGTACCAAAAAGATGTACGGTGTAAACTAAGCCAATAGTAAGTTAGAACGGAGAAAATGTTGTAGTTATTGCTACATATGGTCTATAAGCGCTATTGTGTTTGCATTAAATATTTTAACTTATTTATTGACAATCGATACACTGGCTTTATCAAAGACATTAATTTTTAAAAGTAATAATTTAAGTTTTAAAATTTGATTCTTTGTAATTTCTTTGTAATTCTTTTGTAAATAGTAATGTATGTTGTGATCCGTCTTTAGAAACTCAACATATGTAAATTTATCTGCAAAATCCATTTTATTTTAATGTATAAAAAGTACTTTACTCACAATTTGTATAGTGTGTATTCAAAACACAGCAAAAAAAGCAATAAGTAATTTGCTGTCAATTTATAGAAATCAAAAAATTTTCCAAAAACAATTGTCTGTTTTCAAAAGATTTACCTATTTTTTATATGCTATGAGTTCGTAAAGTTAAATTAAATCATTTTGATATTGTTACAATAATGTTGAGATCACTAGAGTCATAGCTTCCAGTAAATACTCATCATTAGAATCACGTATATTAAGTTGTTATATAAGTATTTTTTTACATTGAGCACTCTTAGAAATTTTGCATATCTTTTTTAGATAATGGTTCGTTTTTGCTAAATTGACAGCAAATTACTTGATGCTTTTACATTCTTTTGTTATTTCTCTCGACAACAAACTATTTATTGCTCTTCTCTTATTACTCCATTAATAGCAGCTGCAACCTGTTCAGTATTAATTATTGATATATGATTGCTGTCTACGTAATGAATTTGTACATTTTTGCTTATCTGCAACAAAACCACATCTGTTATATAAAACTATATAAGATAGAAAAATAAAATATATTACGTAAGAAAAGTGGAATATTTGCTAGTAAAATACCTTATTTAGACCATAATCTTCTTCTACTGAAGGAAGTAATGGATTTGTTGCTTTCAATAATATTATAGGTGACCGAATTGATATCAATGAAGACGTATCATATTCTTGAACAGCAATTAAATGTTTGTAAATTGTTGTACAAAATATTTTAATAGAATCAGAAGAAATTGTATTGGTTATTTCAGACTTCAGATTTTTGATAAAAATATTTAGTTTTTCTTCCCAGGTTACATATTTACTAATTTCTGATATATTCTGAAACAAATTTTAAACAAATATTGTTAGTAAATGTTAAATGTATAGAATATGTTTTTATTTGCTATAGTTTTAATGTGTCAGCGCTATATATATACATATATATATGATTTATAACATGTAAGTTTGTTTTTCACACATATATGTATAATATTATATATTACATACCAGTTCTGATACAGGTATATTAAACACATCCGTCATTTGTTTTAACACAAGAATTTGAAATTCTTGACTATTAGTAAACGGGAACAATGTTTCCTGTACGATTTGTAAGTACTTAGGAGCTCCGTCGATTAATATTAATCGTCCTCGAAAGTTTTTAGCTTCTAATTGTTTTACAATTTCAATAGCAATAAGAGATCCGTATGAATATGCGCCAATTACGAATTCTGTAGAATCTGTTAGTTTTGATAAAATATGCTAAAAAAATACACAATGTTTATAATTAATATTGCTTGTAAACAACATAAAACTTATAATTTTATTTCTAGATGTAAAAATTTCTAGCTTGACTACATACAGGTAAAAGATCAGTGGCTGATTGTATTACAGAGTGAGCAGATTCAGGAATATTAATAGAACTATGTTGTAAGCATATTGCAGGAGCTTTAATTTTTGGAGCTATTGAGTTGTATACGTTAGCAAATCCTTCAATTCCTGGCAAAAGAAATACTTGGTTTCTACTTATTTCTCGTTGTGTAGAAAGCTCTATACAAATGTCTGAAAATATATCTAAGTCAGATATTAACTGGAAAAGATTAAAAATTTTTATATGTTGCGAGTTATTTGTGTCAAGTTGTTTCTCAGCATTCTGTTTGTCGTACGTATCTTTGTTAGCTATTTCTTTAAGCTTAGCGAAGGTGAGATTTCGAAGTTCTTGAATTGTGAAGAAAATACTGAATTCTCTTTCTATTGTTTGCTTAATTTCTAAACCCATCATAGAATCCATGCCAAGTTCAGACAAGAGTACATGTTCTCCAACTCCTTTTAAAGTTTTCAATCCTATGTGTATGTGAGACAAAGAGAGAACGTTAAGTATAAACTATATACAAACATGTAAGAGTACCATTCAATAATGGAAAAAACTCAAGATGGTTAATGTTGATACAAAAAAAGAAAGAAAACAAGAATTTATAATATAGTAATTTATATATAAATTTACCCATAATGTTCATCACAATATGCGCAATATCTCCAGAAACTTTCGATTTTGTAGCTACAATCATACTGCTTACAATCGGTCGATTCTGCATTAAGAAAGTGTTCAGTGATTCTAAACAAGATGATATTCGTTGTTGCAATGTTCCACTGATAACTAGTTCTTTATTGTTCTGTTGCATGTCAGCAACAAGGCCGACGTCACCTATCGCACCCCACTGAATAGCCATGCCAGGTAATCCATCTTGTACTCTTTTTTCGCAGATTCTTTCCATTATCGAATTGGCCATACCGTAGTTAGTTTGCCCAGGATTTCCTTTTCCACATGAAACAGATGAAAATACTACAAAATGTCGCAGATGAGGACACATTTTTCTAGACAAATGGTCCAGTTGCTTTGTAGCTCGAGCTTTCGACTGAAATGATTCTTCAAATGTTTCCGGAGTTTGATTCGTGAAAATATTATCATTTAGCACAACTGCGAGATTAAATATAGCATCTACTGGTCCTAATTTGTTGGCAAAACGTAAAATGGAAGCACAATCTTCATGAGTAGATGCGTCAATGCCTGTCATTATTTGCACATTTACTCCATACGATTTCCATAACTCTACTCTTGACTGTTGATAACCGTTCTTTATACCATTTCGTGAAATGAGTATAATTTTTCGAGCGCCACGAAGAATCAACCAGTCAGTTAACTCTAGGCCAAAACCGCCTAAACCACCCAAAATAATATAAGATTTATGTTCATTACAGAAATATTGAGGATACGCGAGAATAGGAGCGTCCACAACTTCTTCTTCTGTACGTATTTTTATGATTACCTATACGTAAAAATAAAATCTTTTTTTATTAAAATTATATTTCAACTGTTATTTATATTGAAACAGAAAAAAATAAAATAATATATTTGTTTTAATAAAATATATTTTTGACAAATAATTCAAAACTATTTGTTGCTTTTATTTTTACATTTCTATTCAGTAATTGGTTTACATTTGTCTTTTGCTTAAATCCATAACTAAACAAAGTAATAACAATTTGCAAAAAGATGGTCACGATATTGTTGGTCTCAAGAATATCGCAAAAATATTACGAGAATATTGCAAAAACAGCGAAAGCCATTTGCAAAATAATCAGGTTTGAAGGTTTTGTCAACAGATAGCATTTATATCTGCCAAAACCACAAAATATTCAATTCTACTGCAATCTTAAGAGTTAAGTAAGTAACATTTTGCTAAAATTTTTCTTACAGAAACTTTTCTATTTGAAATTTATGTCAGAAAAAACCATTGTGTAATAGCTATAAGTATACTAAAACGTTCATATGTTAATTCTAAATGATTATTTTTTTAAGAACTGTATATATGAAATATACAACCTTGATCACACAAATAACGTGACCGCCTTTAGTTGCTATACACAATATTACATTTTGTTTGAAAATTGTACTTTTAGAGTTACTTTAACTTACCTTTCCTATATGTTTCGCAGCTGCCATATGTTTAAAAGCGGTTTCTACCTCATGTTGTTCAAAAACTTCTCTTTTAAGTGGTTCGACTGCTCCACGCTGAATCATATTGTTTAACAAGTTATGAATATGTATTTTTCTTCTTTCATCAGTACTAATAAATACTCTGTCTAACAGAACTCCATAAAAACTAATGCCTTTTGAAAATTCTTTTAGATTTATAGTACTGTTAGATATTAAATCATACTTTCCAATTTCTAAAAATCGACCACCTCTTGCCAAACACCGAATAGATGCTTGTAGTTTGTCTTCTGCTAAAGAATTTAGCACGATGTCCACACCTCGACCTCTTGTTTTTTGACTAATCATTTGTTCGAAGCTGGTGTCTCGAGAATTTCCTATATGATCTTCAGGAATAGAAGGAAATTTTTCTCTTATAAAGTTTCGTTTTTCAGGTGTTCCTACAGTTGTAAATATTTCACATCCTTCAAAAAGCGCGAGATAAATTGCAGATTGCCCAACGGCACCAGTGCCGGAATGTATAAGAATTTTCTCTCCTTTCTTTAATTTTCCACATGTGTACAAAGCATAACAACTTGTACAATAAGCAACTGGGACAGTTGCAGCATCCTCTAACGTCCATTTGTCAGGAATGATCCAACAAAGTTGTGGATCAGCCACAATAAGATTAGTGATTCCTCTAAAATGGTTGTAGTACTTTTTAAACTACACATATTGTTTTTCTATTTTGTAACAGTAAACTTTGGAGTCTGTAGACAGAACATTCAATGCGTTACGCGTGACAAACAACAATGCGGTAGCATTTTACTGTTATAGAAAAATAATAAAATATATATTAGTTGGCGTAGCTTTTAACCATGCATAACGCATTGACTTGTTCTGTCTGTAACAATTCTTAGCATTTTTTTAACCATACAGGAATAAAAAATGTATGTGCGTTACACGCACATACGCATGCACAGAACTAACTACATGATATTTAAATAGATTCTTTGGTTTTACTAACAAAATTGTCAAAACTTAAAAGGAAACAGAAGCGAAATTATCAATGTGAATTATATCAATCAGCTCAATCTTGAAGTATTGAATTGTCGGAGATAACTGTTTTATATATAAACTGTAACAACTGTAAGATCCTATTTGTATGAGAGTTGCGAGAACGAATCTGCAATACCGACGTAGCCGAAATCGGAGCAAGATTCGAACAGGTGTAGATATATAGATAGATAATAAGTACCTGAAAATAAAATATGAGGATGAGGGCGTGCATGACGAAAATGATAGGTGCGTGCGAGAAGAAGAAGACTGAAAGGAGTCAGAAGTGATAGAGCAGAATTAGAGTAAAGACAGACGTGATAGAGCAGAGTTAGAGAAAAGACAGAGGAAAAGCGGAAAAGAAAGTGATAAATCACGAACGGGTGATATACTAAAGAGAGGCGAGCGTGCTTCGATTAATTTCTGTGTAAATCTGTTTGTAGCAGCGGTCTGTGCCGCAAAGTAAATTTATATTTGTGTAATAAATGTGTGTGAGTGAAAAAAGAAACAACCATCCTGACTAAGATCCTTACACAACTAATAAATTTGTTGTTCTTCATACCTTAAAGTAGATATTCCCATTATTCTTTTTCCAGCTGCATTGAACCCGACAAATTCACAACCTAGGAAAGAATCGATTTCTCTTGCTTTTTTTCCAGAAATATCCAAAGGAATTCTACCAGTAGCTATCATAATATCCTTGAAATTAAGTGATGCATATACTACACGTACGAGATTTTCTTGTTTGTAATCAGGGAATATCGGACCTTCAATCCAACGCAACTTGCTCAAATCACCTCGCACCTACAACAAATATCAATACTGTTGTAATAAAACATACACAATAATAAAATATACTGTTGTAATAAAACATACACAATAATAAAATATTATAACTTAATTTATAAATTTTTATGAACATACACTCTGAACGACATAACCATGCTGTACAAATTTTGGTTCTAATTGTGGTAACGGAAGATGTCTATACGATCCCCAAACTTTGTTGGGACGTAAAATATTAATAGGCAAATCCAATTGTAGTTGGTTTATGTAGACAGAGTCTTGTAAAGAGAATTTTGGCGCATTTTCATCTTGGATAAATACACATCTAATCTTGTCATCCGTTTTGTTCAGCTCTTTTCGTAAACAATTGATAAAACCTAATATGCCACATTCAAAATCGTCCGCAACTAATATTGTTCTTGTAGATGCGTTTAATTTATCATCCATGTTTAATGAAGACTTCAACTTGTTAATCCACGAAAAGTCAGAGTTATTTATATATATAACTTCTTGCGGTACAATGCTTTGTGTTTTTCTTAAAAGCACAAATGCCTCTTTCTCTGTACGTTTTTCTAAAACTATATTCAACTTATATTGTTGTAATAATGTATAGTTGTAGGACTCAGTGAGATTTTCTCTTGACAGCACAAAGCTACCTTCTTTTAATGTAGACAATAATGTATCGATTAATTCACTTCTGTTTTTTGTTAAAAGTTTGAAAACTATAATCATTAGGACATTTTTATCTTTTGTCAAATTGCCGGACAGGTTGATATTTGGAGATAATTCATTAGTTTTGAAACGATTAGCTGTAGCAACTAATGTAATATTGGGTTCGATTAATGGCAAATTATTTAAAATATCATAACAGATTGTAGAAAGTAGATCTTGCTCTGTAACTGTGTCAACATCCTCAATTAATTCAATAAAGTTTGCATGTAGTACTGGATTACATTCTAGCGAAATATGCGCTGACATTTGTATAATTTCTGTTAGAGACATCACGGCACGATCACAATGAGCAATAAAACAATATTCATCATGAATAGATTCAGTATTTTGTCGAGGTATATTTGTAGCCATAACGCCATAAATTTCTATTCCTCCAGATATTATAACATCCAGAGAATCATAAACGCGTACAGGAAAGTCTGAAATAAAAATTGTATATCTTTAGTAGAGAAATCTAAAAAGGAAAGAGAGAGTGAGAGATAGCAATATATGTCTACTGGTAGAAACGGGGGAAGATTGTCGATAACTATTTCACAAAAAACACTCGATGTAGAAGAATGTTTGCAATAAAACTTACTTTTAAATGTTTTGTTATATTATTAGGCGTAATAACAGATATTGCACATATGTAATTTAGATCTTTTGCCATGACATATGTGTTAATATTAAGAGTATTAAATGCAGAAAGGTTCTCATTATTTTAATATTATTTTTTACTTATATGTCATCGTACATATTTTATTCATAAAATATGATATGTGGATATTTCATTATAATGTATACTTACTCGCTCTTTCATCAGGCGTAGTTTGTATTTGCTTCATGTGAAATTCAGGATCAATTACTAATTTACGAATTCTTGTTGGTACAAAAAGATTTCTCGAATCTAGTAACAGAATTTTCATCTGAAGCATGTTATCGATAAATGCTGTCCAATTGTCTGACCATCTTATATGCCCTACTTTTGTTGAAATTGATGCACTTTTTAAGCCTTGAAATATACCGGAATAGTGATAACCACGAAGTCGCAATTCTTTGTAAATATCCTTGGTATTCATATATTCTGTGACGTTATGTTTAGGTTCATTTAAATTATGAATAAGTACTTTATGATTTGCAATATCATTTGGAATCCACACTTTTCCAGTAACGACAACAGTAGTTTCTTCACTAATCTCGAATTGATTGCTGCCTATATAATAATTAAATAGAAAAACAATAGAAAAAGAACAATATGTAAGAAACAATATGTAAATTTGTTGTATATGTGTGTGTCTGTGAGAAAGCGAGAGAAAGAGAAAGAGAAAAAAAGAAAAACAGAGAGAGAGAGAGAGAGAGAGAGAGAGAGAGAGAGGAAAAAAAGAAGGAAAAACAAACAGACATACAAATAGACTCTTACCGTTTTGTATTGAAAGTGTCAGTTTAACTGTAGTCGTTTTTGATAAGTGAGTAGCACGAAGAAAGTTAACATCTTCAAATATAATTGGTATATTTTTATAGTCACAGCATGACAGTGTTCCAATCATTTTCCAAATTAAAAACAGATAACCTGAAGCTGGCAGTAGAATCCTTCTATCAATTACATGATCATACATATATTTCAAACTGGAATCTTTGAATGTAATCTCTTCAATTGTTTCTCTAATGTTAGGTTTTTTCTCACTTATAAAGGTTGCAACGTAACAATTCTCAGAGTGATCCCATCTATAACAGCAATAAATTATAAACTATATATAATATTGTAAAATGAAACCTTATTGTTCATTAAAACAAAAAAACAAACAAACTTTATTAGAGGAGATATCATTGGTGTTCCACGACTGACTGGAAATTGTATTGGCGGATACAAGTTTGCAACTTGCGGTTGACATCCGATATTATAAAGATTCCCAATTCCTTTCAAAATGCTATCTATATTATTTCCTTGACCGTGTTGAAATAATGAAATATAGTTTGAATCCAAAACTTTCTTCATGAAAAATTGCCAATTATTATATGATACTATTTCAATAACTACTACATTTTCCGGTATTATAGGTAATAGTTCTTCAAGTGACGAATATACTGCACTGTATGCATAATATTCTGCAGCAGATAACTGCGTAAATGAGTTGTATATTTTACTGTGAGGTAAAAGCGTGTTTAACCATTTCTTACTATACTTATAACTTTTCATTGATTTATATGGTACTATTTGATTCAGATATTCTTGTAGCTTTAGTCTAGTAGATTCTGAATATTGATTAGAAGCAGCAGAAATATAATTACACTAAAAAGAACACAAAACAATACAATAACATGTGTACACAGAATAAAGTACTTACATTTACTTACGTGTTCTACTTTTAGTTTTTCGAACGCAACACTCATATAATACGCCATTACAATTGTTTCCTTAAGAGTAAAAAGTTCATCCACGTATCCGCATAAGAGTTCACCAATTGACTGACCGAGTACATAATCGGGCACAATTCCAATATGTAGTAAAAGATCTACCATTGCAATCTATATAAAAATGACATAACATATTCTCTTATAAATAATAAATCACAACATCAGAATTACTGTATCGAAATGCGATTTAAACTGGCTGGTTTATATGCCAAACACTAGATATATATATGTTGTATATGTGTGTGCAAAAAAATTTTTATCATTTTGAATTAATTTTAATTGTCACGCAGTCACCACAATTCAACAAATATAAAAAGCAAAACGTAAATATACACAAAATTAATTCTACAAACTGAAGGTTTTCTTTATTTACCTGAATACTAATAATTGCCATGAATAATTTTATACTGTCATTGCAGGTAATTTCCTTTTTATTTAATAAAATGTCCGTGACACATATACCGTATGGTTTTAGTGCTTCATCACATTTGTGAATTGTTTTGACAATTATTGGTAGTTCCATTAATTCTTTGCCTGAAAATAACAGATAAAAATATTTTTCATACGTATGAATTCAAAGTGTATATTCAAACAAAAACATGCTTAAATGAACAAGAAATATAAAAATGTCAAATAAATTGATTTCAAGATCAAATATATAAAGAGCTTTGTTGAGTTTGTTGTGGTGGAAAGAAAAGCAAGAAATAGTAATTAACGGCAAGTACAAACCGAAATATAGGTAACGTGAAAAATGAGCAATAATGTGACAAGTATGCAGCCCAAATGTTGTTTTAGTTATATTTTCAACCTTCTGAGTTGAATATAATAAATAGAGAAAAAAAGAAATAAAAAAATTGATTCAAAAACTCACGTTAAGATTTACTCGTGAATATATATATATATATACACACGCATATTTACGCACAACATCCAGCGGACAGCTCTTATTACCGTTTATATATTTCTAGTTCAAACTTCAGAACCTAAAGATTATCTAATTGTTAAAATAATTGAAAAACAGTATCCAAACATAATTCATACAAGAAAAAAATTCTCATTATGGCGTGTCGAACATCTCGCATTCATTGATCTACATACTAAATCATGGTTGAAATTATATAGCACAAAAAAAATAAATATAAATAAGTAGAGCAAAGCATATATTAACATACATTGAGATTGATAGTTTTGAGCATTGCAACGAAGTGGCGCTCGAACTGCGCGAGCACACCGTGCCTCTTATATACGCGAAATTCAGTAAATGAGAGAATGGGAAGTTTTTTACAAGGCTATTTTTCAAGAACGACTGAACCGATTAATTTCGTTTTAGTCTCATTCGCTTCAGAATGAAACATTACAAAAAAAAGTATTGTTTACGTTTTGTGTGTTTGTGGCTTCTGAACGAAGATAATGAATAAGATAAAAAATAGACGTGTAAATCACGATTAAGAAACGTTTTCATCGTCGTGGGACACTCAGGAATGTACATGTTCACATTTATGCTACCAGATGGTGTTGTTTAACGAGCACGTTTAAGAAGAAAGTTAAAGAAAGAGAGAAACATCAAGAAGCACGGTAGTGCCTCGCGTCAAATCCACGCGCGACGAATCACGCACAACGAAGGTTTTCTTTCTATTATTTTACAACCTATGTTAATTCGGTGATTGGAAAGTTCCCGTAAACGCAGTTTTACAATAAAGCTTATGAATAACAAATATACGCATTTGACTTATCTTAGTATTTATTTTATTTACTATTTATTATTTTTATTATTTTCATTATTTTTATTACTTTTTTATTATTTTTATTATTTATTTTATTATTTTTATTATTTATTTTAATATTCTACATTTAACGATACATAGTTCTTTTCGCGAATCGCAGATATCTTAAGAACCAGAAGAGATAGCTTTTTTGAAACTAATTTTGCAGGTATCTTCAATCGGCTATTCTGCGATTTATGACAAAGAGTGAAAGTTAACAAATTGAATATTTCGAGAACGGTACACGTTAGAGCAAAATGGTTTTTGGATCTCGTTTTGTATTAGTTAGATGCAAAATACCACGTAATAAAAGTTTAATAATTTTTATTATTTAAACATTCGATTGTTAAAAACAAAACCTAGAATGTTCAAACCGGGCTGGTATTTTGCAGTTTGATGTGCTGAGAATTATAGCGCAAACCGTTTTTCTCTATCTCCTTTGATTTGTTAATTAATTTTGCAACTAACTGTGATGCTATGTGGTTGCGACTTAAAGGTGGTAACTTATCGACGTTGGCGTAAGGGTTACGGTGGTAACTCATAAGTAATGGTAACTCGGTCGGAACAAGTGGTTTTTTGATAATGTTAGTTACAACAAAATGGTGATACTGGTAACTTTACTCCCGAATTTCGACTCTCGAAGCACCGATTTTAACGTAAGTACTGATTTACCGACGATAGAAGATCTGGATAGTTTTGGGTTCTAGAGGAAAAGACGGCAGGGTCGAGTAATAAAAATATATACAGGGTGTCCCAGAATTGGTTTAACATCTCTCG